ACCTCTCCCTTTCTACACGCCCTTATCTAACTTCGAATCTGTTGCCGTCATTGTTCCAAAGTTCCAAATGGCTATTCGCATTTTCTCGTTTGTTTACGGTATGAAAATCTGTCCCTCCGTGATTACCATCGTCGCTAGGTCGATCCTATTGTGTAGTTCTCACAGCCGCCTCAATTGCTGCCTTTAGAAAATACCCTATAATTCTTTACAGAACTATCTTGCAAGTAGCAACTGTTTTCTCACATTGTCCTGAACTGCTTATTCGGCAGGTTTTCTGATCGCTTCGAGAATTCCCTTGATCAAGGAATTTACCACATATTGCTTCAGACCTGGGTTGTTCGGTCTGTAGAGCGTGGAACTCAGAACCGATAAGTCCCGAGTTCGAGTCCCGGCCGGGACACCTGTCTTTATTCCTTCGAGGTTGATAAATGAGTAACACTGTGGAAACGAAAACTCTGCCTTAAAATAAAAAGTAAGATATTCTTGGATGATGGCATAGAAACTGACATAAGCACAGTACCAACCATGAAAAGAAAGGGGCCAAAATGGTCTAATCATGAAAGTGAAAGCAGACTCACGTTCCAACGCTGACTAACTATACTTCTTTTTCCATTTCCGATTGCTTCGCAGCTAACCCTTTGCATTTAAGGGTTATCCCACCATCCGCATCCAGCAGATGCGATCGGCAGCATCAAACCTTGCCTAAGCACAATTATCGGACCGTAGAATTAAGCACTCCTATCACAATATGCCTTCGACCTCAAAAATTGCTCAACATATAGGCGATCGACATAAAAACAAGAGGAAACATTTTCACAAACTATGACCAACAGCGGAAAGTAATTCTTCATAACGAGCACAGATGCCAAATAATGCATGAAATCCTAGTTTTATTTGGATGTTATATTGAAATATAGTTCACACATTTATACAGTATATGACAGCGGTAAAAAATGATCCACAAGTTTTACTAAAATTTGAAGTGTTCTTTCAAACCAAAGGGCATCTTAGACAAATCAGTGCCAGTACTCAGTCAGTCACAACCGACAGCAGAAAACCCATTTGCTAAGCATTCCTGCATCCATTAGTGTAGCGGTTCAATGTAGCAACCGTCTTTCAGTAGTCTTTACATTTCGAAAGTTTCATTTATCCACTAGGCAGTTTGTAATCCCTGATGTTTTGTTTTATCTCAGGTTCTGTTATGGTTATGTTCATTATATAACTTTGTTTTCTTTTAGTCTTAATTTATTTTTTATGCTGATCGCTATCATCATGCATCGGTAG